ATTGAGGTGTCGGCGACGAGGATTCTGTGCCAGAATTGGGAGGCAGTGAAGCACAAATGTGAGGATTGAGATGGGATTGGTTAGAGTTTGGAGACAATTGTGTTGATGTTTTCAGTTTCAATTGCTAGTTTCTTGAGAGATGGATATGGACAGATTATGCATCACTTCCTTGAAGAACATCAACCAAATAAGCGTTTAAAACCTATTATCCAGAAGGATTTTATAGATTTAAAAATCGATTTCAGTTTTAGAAACAAACCTATAAAATTGATTGTTCACCGGGTTAAGCAAGGAGATACGTGGGATTAGGGTGGAGGAGATGGAGGTGGTTGGCAGCGGATGGTGGTGGCGGTGAACACTGATGGACAGTAGAGATGGAGGTGGAGGTGTTCTTGAGATTGTGCATATGCATTCTTGATAGTGTTAAGTGTGTGTTTTGGAGAGAGAGAGAGAGAGAGAGAGAGAAAGAGAGAGAGAGAGAGAGAGAGAGAGAGAGAGAGAGAAAGAGAAAGAGAGGTGGCCCTCATAATTTTTATTAATAAAACTTTAACTTAAATAGCAAAAACCATAAAAAAAAATGTGTCAGAATGGCATTTTAGTCTTTTCAGATTTCTGAGGGACCAAAAACGCAACGAAACTAGCTCAAAAGGACCATCAATCCAAAAAAGTGGTTTGGACAAAAACCCTAAAAAAATGCATACCATAGAGATCATTTTTGCAATTTCATCAAAAGTTAAATTGAAATGAGAAATTCTATGGAATATTCATATAACCTTTTTCAAAAGAGGTTATATCCTCAATGTCGTCTTCAATAAAAAGTTTTGTAGCAAAGTAGGTGTTATTGACGTATGGACGCTCTGAAATGGAAATTTTAATAATTTTTCGAATGTTAATAATTTCGTATCATAGATATATTAAGAATAGAAATATTACAAATTTATAACTTGGTAAATATGTACGTTCGAAAAACTTGAACTTAGCAAGTTGAATAAGCAATACAAAATGACAAGGATGCTTAGAAACTTATGCAATAAGCAATACAAAATGACAAGGATGCTTAGAAACATATGCAACAATTTCATCAGCATACCATCCCCATGGAGTAACAAAAACTTGATGTCCTTCTTTAAAATAAAAAAAAAAAATATTAAAAACAAAGTATCATAAGAATAATAAATATAGGTATAAAATATGAAACCCACTCTAAATCCTCCATTTCGAGTGTTATTTTCTGTTCCTGTTTGTCTTTTGTAGGTTCCAATGGAAAACACTGGAAAACGTTTCCTATAATATCTATATTACGGACAAGGAAAAGTCTAAGTATGTACTTGTTATGTTGGAAAAAATTAATTTATATAATTTAATTCACTACGAATGGGTTGAAGAGAATGCAGTAACCAAATGACATGTTTGGTTGGATTGCATTATCATGAAGTTGTTGGAAGTCTACAAAAGTAAAAGAATTTTGTGGCCACAAAAATCTTTGCATTGAATAACCTTTGTGGTATACTGGAAATATAGTTTGTGTGGATCGTCTACAAACTTTATAGCACCATTATGTAACCATAATGTGGGTTTATGAATGTAGAAATCCTCATATTCTATCAAAGATTTTCCTCTCGTAGCGATGCAAATGGTTATCCACATTACATTCAATTTGGTGCCCTTAAAATAAAAGAAAAAAAAATAATTAAAAAGTTATGCCACACATACAAATAATTGTAACTTAACATATATAATTTAATATAATTAAAATAAAATAACAAAAAAATGAAATACCCTTTTGTCCATCAATATCATGACAGTCATACAAATACGTTGATTCAAGGAGGTTTGTTTCCACATACACATGATTCCGACCATAATGGTGTAGTCATCTTGTGAGAGAGCGAAGTCACTGATCATGGTAATGTTGGTGTTTTCCATTAATCTAAGCATGAATGTAGTAATGAAGATAAGTAAATCAAGATAAATTCTAACATTAACAAAGAAATCAAAGTACATCGCATGAGACATAGCAAAATGGTTTTTTAATGATTATGAATAAAACAAAAAAAGCAAGTCATATACTCACTTTTTATTACGTTTTCGACCTTAGCCAGCATAGACAGATTTAATGGAGAATAATATACCTTTACAAGTGTCCTTAATAGTGAATTCTCAAATGAAGTTTTATAAAGAGACAAGACAATGTTAATGGTGAGACATCATTATCAAAAGGTTGTTCATGAGCTCAACCACAGAAAGGGTCACCATGGACTACAAATTTTTTAGATAGAATTATCAAAGTTTAGAAAGAGAAAAAGTCCATCTGTACAGGTACAAAATGAACAACAATATGCAAAACATGGAACACAAACAAAAGGGGACAATTCAATTATCAAATCCATTGTACAATTAATATTTCAGTTTACCAATAATAGCAGGACAACATTAGCAAAAACTTGAAAGATTATTTTTTATGAAATTACCACTAACACACAGATTCACAATTAGAAATAACATCAAACTTTCGTATTATCCTCTTTAAAGTAAGGTAATTATTTCACTTCACTTATCACAATAATAGAATGAGTGCAGCCATACAATGATGATTATGTTTGTCTACGTGTATATGTAGAAATAATATCAATGAGTGCAACCATAAAAAACAACATAACACGTTAAATTTATAGCAAATTGACCAATATGCCCCTGTATTGTTTAGAACAGTTTAGAACAGACACAGAATAAGCGACATCCAGTCATGTCCGATAACATACAATTCATTAAGATACCAAAATAGGTAACAAAAACAATAGAATAAACATGACCAAGCAGGAAAATGCAACGAAATCAAATATTAAAAGTGACAAAAAAATGAACTTCTTTGAGGCATTTAATCGAACAGCACATATGCATTCTAACATGAGCAAGGTTTGGAACATTAGAATAAGAGGAAATTCGACCAAAGCATGGAAAAGATAAGAGAAATACATATAATTTTCACATAAAAAAGAATCAGATGATTTAAAAAAAAAAAAAAGAACTAATCATTAAAACAAAAAGGTTTGTTAACCTGATGTAGTAGATGTTGGCGTATTGGACTGTGATGATGAACCTGATGTTGTAAACTCAATCTCTCAATAAAATGCGACAAATGAATCAGATTGTAGTTATACATAATTATTAATTTACAAAAATGAATTTTGAAAGGATATCAAGATTAGCTATGAATGAACCGATATTTGAAATGTTTCTGCAGATTATCGTGATTTTGAAAGGAATTGCTAAAAATTGTGTTTGAAATTTAGGAAGGTTTATTTGAATTTAATATATTCATTGACAGGACGGACGCAGAAATACACAGTAGGTGTTGCCGTGGTTGAAGATGTGTTGCCAGTGCATGAAAAATAGATAAAAAACCAAAGAAATTGAAATGTTTTCCATTGCGTACGGGAAAACTAGGTGTTGCCGGTGCCACACCGGGACACCAAGTAAAACCGTCCATGTTCATTGACAAATTAGTGTACACTTTAAGGAAATATACAACTTTCTTTAAATTTCTTTAAAATGCAGTAAATATATTATATTTTTAGTTAGATTAATAAAAAAAAACTAAAAAGAAACCACAATTTGCCAAGTGGAATTAAATGAAATTGGAAAAATAGAAAAAAAAAAATGCTAAAAAAATGCTATGTGGCATGTTGAATAAGATGATCACATTTGATAGAATTATTTTCTTTTATTAGATAGGATAGAACTCAATTAAGGTAACCTAAGAATGTCTGATGCCTGTGATATTTTACCAACCATTTCATGTAACATTAATTAGTCAAAAAATACAAGATTCTTGTTGAGCCACAGGAGTACAACAAATAAGCCTCGGTTACATCACATAATTCTACCAGCTAGTTGATTAAAACAAGGCTAAAGGATAAAAGTCAACATTTGCAAGAATTTATGAACAACCTTGTTCGCAAGAATTCATCAAAATAAGCTTTAAGCAAGAATTGATCAAAAACAATTGCAAGAATTCATCAACATTTGCGAGTAAAACCAAGAAACCTTATTTGCATAAAAATTCATCAACAACTTTTGCAAGAATTCATCAAAATAGCAACAAGAGATTAAAAGTACCAACCTACAAAACTTAGCAATAACCTTATGCAAGAATTCAGCAACACCAAAAAGACGATTTAAACAAAATTAGAAAACGGACGAAAAATAGCCTTTGATTAACGATTTTGATAAATTTAGGGTTTAGCACATAAATTATGACATTAGCATATAGAATAAAGAGTTACAGATGAGGCTGCATTAGGGAAAGAGCATTGGAGTTTGAAAATGTGGAGAACATGAGTCAAGCCATCGGTATTTGTTTGATGATGTAATTTGAGGAGAAGCCAACTTCAGTTCATCCTGATTGTTGTGTTTGGCTAAGAATCGAACGATCTTCGAACTCCTGATGTAGTCTTAACCATGGCATTAGAGAAACCCTAAATCGCCTTGAGATAACTTTTAACACTTTTTTCAAGCTTAACCTTCAATTTCGTGAGCCCTGTGAGCAGACACCAGTTAAGCAAGGAGAAACCCTGAATAGTGTTGACATACGTTTTTGTCTGTCATAAAATCAACGTATGTCGTAATTTGTATGTCATTAAAAACCTTTTTCTAATAGTGCAGATAATAAAGACAGCATGAAAGTAGAAGGTTTCTTTTTCAACAGTAGGCCACCCAAGGTTGAGCCCTATATGGGTATCGAACACGGGAAAACTCCATTTTGGGTGCTTAATTCTCATCAATTAAATTAAAGGCCTTCAATGCATCGGAAAGGTTACAGAAAACAAAGACCGTATGAAAAAATAAGATTACCTTCAATATTTACTTGACATGGGGTCTCTTTTGAATTCCTGCATAAAATATATAGATATAAAGTTGAAAATATGGAGAACCTTGGGGGTGTTGACATTAACAAAAAAAATATAAATGAAAACTTCTCAAATGGACTTTATGAATGACTAAAGCAAGTAACATCGACCTACCTCCTGTTTCTTCTTTATAAAGGAGTTGATGTCGTCCTCTCCTACATCAAACAAGCCAAAACTTTTTTCTATTTCTCCTAGCACTGGAGTAACAAAACTTCCCTTGGTGAAAATCATAATTGATGGGCATTTCTTGATGCTCAAAATATCCATTGATGGAAATGAAAAATTCTCCTTCCCTAAACAAAATCCCTTAAGACATGGAAGTTGATCAAGCTTTAAGGATTTAAGACAAGGTAACATAATCTCATTCATTTTGCCATCAGACTCCTCTTCTACTTCCACAACAACATTTTTGTCCTTAACAATTACCTCCTCCATACGGATGCAGTCAATTATATGCAGCTCTTGGAGATTCAATAGACAACCAAGCATGGAACTAGTAAAAGCATGTGCTAATGTTTTGCAATCACCAATATAGACTCTTGTTAGGTTTGGAAACTCAAATGTTGTCCACGGACTGTGCTTCCATATATACCTGAGATGAGCTAGCCGATATAACTCCACTTCTCTTAGGTTTGGAAGTTTTATAACAGTTTCTGATTCATCAAAAGCACTATCTGTTCCTTTCAATGCATCAAATACCAACTCTACCCAGGTATTGTCTCTTAGGTGAATCTTTTCCAGCTTTTGAAGTTGTAGCAACTCACTTGATGGAATAATTGTTTCAACATATGCATTAAACTTCACTTGTGACTCTATCAAATTATGAAAAGACCACGGGATTCCTTCTGAAGTAGTAGCAGGGCACAAGGTTGTATGGCCTAAACTCGGGGGTCGGGTCTGCAAAGGTCAAAAAGGAGAGAATATTATGAGGCATATGTCAAAAGAAAATTGGGATGTTAAATTTTAATGAAATTGGATAAGTAACAACCAATAATTAAGAGGTTATAATTATTAGTGATGATACTCAACTCCAACTAATAAAATTTGAGCGGGTTTACCTTTTAGACCTCATAAAATAAGATAGATAGATATGAGAGGTATTGGCGACGACCTAAACTTTTTCTAGGAACTAGTATCAATTAGTTTACTGCTTTTAACTACTTGGCATCATGATTTCTTAATCAGATGATGTGAAAAAAATAAAAAAGTTTACCTGAAGCTGAGAAATGTTTGTCGCATGAAAGTTAAACCCACATTCAGGACTATGTTTTCCTAAGATTGTTTCTACAAACTTGAGCTGTGGAGCTCGGGACCCACCAGGAGTGAACACCATCATTTGTGGGCAATTGATGATCTTAACCTTATGCAATGAAGGCCATCGGAATTCATTCATCCCCCTGTAGAAACCCACAAGATCTGGTAGATTTATTAACTTGATTGACCTTAGACGACCAAAGACCACAACCTCAGATGTTGCTGTTTGCTCCCCCCCACATTCTTCCTTCACAATCACTTTCATTGCATCACAATCCTTTATCATTAACTCTTCCAGTTGCCTTAGGCTTTCAAGTGTGGAAAAAGGGAATACATGTTCCACAAGGTCACAACCATCGATTTTCAATATCTTTAGGTTGGGAAGTTTCAGCACATGATGTTTAACATCATCAATTTGTCTTGGTATTGGCGGTGTTCCCTCATCAACATAGTTACTACTGTTGTTGATACCTTGAGTTTCAAATACCTCCTTCATCGAGCTGCAATAGCTTATTTTCAGCACTTGAAGCTTTAGTATCTTTCCTAGCGCATTAGATGGAATCACACTTGACAATGCATGACAAAGGGATATTTCTATCTCTTTAGGGTATTGGCATAAGCTCCAAGAAACACCAACCACTTGAGAAAACTGCAGCAGATAAAAAATTGAAATATATGAATTTGACCAAGCTGAATTGTTCATTACCCATATACACTACTTTTATATAAGAACTACAATTCAACATTCAGTGTTTTTTTTTCTACTCTCCACACCACAAAAGTACTTTTGCTTCTTTATAATTAATTTAACATAAAAATAATGGCATACAACTCTACCACCTACAACTTTATAATGCATTCTTTACGAGGTTGAGAAATCATACACATTACATAACAAGCGTCAAAAAGGCATATTTACAACGTATTACTATTATTTTAAGGGTAAATTACAATTTACAAGAATATATACCACCAGATTATTCCTTTCCTTACGTATATAGGCAATATACTATGCACATTAGTATAGCCTTTGTATATTGAGTTAGTATAGCCTTTGTAATGTGTATTTATTCACCCTTGATTAACGAAATTAGTTATGGGAAAATATTTGTCAAACATGGTATTGGAGATCTTCTCTAGATCATAGGCAACACTTATTTGGCCATGGAGGTGTGGTTTTCATTCATAAACCTAAATGGTATAAGATCTATAGCCGAAGACGGGAAGGTCAAGATCGATAAGTTTGATGGCCATGATTTTTGCTTTTGGAAGATACAAATTGAAGATAATCTCTATCAGTAAAATCTTCAGGAATCCTTGTCCGCAGAAAAACTTGAGTCGCTGAAATATATAGGAAATTGTATTTTTTCTTTCATTCCACAAAAGTATGAATATATGTTACAGTGTAACAGTTACACCATCCAAAGAAAATATGTTGCAAAATTTGGTTGGGATCGTACTTTGCTTATATCAGAAAGGATTACATTTTCACGTTATAGTGATTACATAAGAAAACTTTTGAACAAGACTTCAATATACATATAGGTTACATTAATATTAATAAAGATAATGTTTTCCTTTTTTTTTAGTTATGTCAGTCATACACGATATAATTATAATTTTCATGCATAAGTAAATAATATAAGGTTTGTTAAATAAATAAAGAAATATATTTAAAAATATTTTGAAATATAAAATATTAGGCCCTCTACATACATACAATCCATCCAAGTAGATAATTAAGTCCCTAATTCAAGATATGCATAAAAAATACAACAAAACTTGTGTATTGCGGTAGTCAACAACAGGAGAAGGAGCCAAAAAAATGTTAGCTAAACAGAATGGAGGAGAGTACTGATGTTGTATGTCGATAAACAACCCCTTCATTTCTATTGGATATAATATTGGAAACAAACCACCGCATCCGTATGATTAATATCAAATTAACCTCATCAAACTACCTAATTTGGAGAAATCAACTCAATCCGTTGCTGCTCCATCAAAATTGGATGAGGTTTGTCGATGGTTCGCATCCGGCTCGACCAAAAACATCGCTAATCAACGACAAAGAAGTTCAAAATCCAGATTATGCTTCACGGCTGGAAATTGATCAGAAAATTCTTCTTACTCTTCAATATTCTCTTTCGGAAGAAGCCATGGCAGAAGTTTTGGGACTTTCCTCTTCTCGTGAATAGACCTAACAAATGTATCGTGTCGTGTAAAGACATTGAACGGATTGAAAGGGTTTGACCCTAACCCAACTTGTTTAATTATCGTGTCCTGCCGTGTCAACCCGTTTATTTTCGTGTCGGTTTCGTGTCGGGTTTCGGGTTAAGGTTTAGACCTTGTAAATATGTTGTGTCATGTCGGGTTGAAATATTTTAAAGGTTGGAAAGTAGGAGTTCTGGAGGCAAAAAGGAAAAAGTGAAAGACTGGAATTATGAGATGGAATGACAAAATTTATAGTAAGTTTAGAAGGAAAAATGAAAAGAATTAAAGCCGGGGAGCTAAAGGGATAGGTGGTGATGATGACTAAAATTAAGTAACTTTGAAAATTTGAACTACTTCTAATTCTTGAGTTTGGCCCATTACAAGTCTATAGCATATAATATATTTATAAAAATATGAAATTTATTATAAATAATATATAATTAAACGGGTCATATTCGAGTCATCTTCGAGTTGAAAGTTTTGACCCTAACCCTACCCGTTTAATTATCGTATCATGTCGTGTCAACCCGTTTACATAAACGTTTTGAAATCTCTGACCCTAACCCGCTAATTTAGTATCGGGTTTTCGTGTCATCAAGTTTTTTGCGCCGTTGCCGGGGACGGCTTTAATTTGTTATCTTAATTGCTAGAGTTATCGATCCTTTGTGTAAGATTTATCTTGCACATAGTTACCATTTGATCCTCGGTTCCTCTGAATTCGCCACTCTTCAAGACGCTTATGGCCTTTCTTCGGCCGATGGAGTGGAGTTCCCGGCTGCTGGGCTTCAATCACTTCGCCGCCGCTTGGGAAGGTCGGTGAAGGGGTCTGCTGGGTTATCTTCAGATGACACCCTCTTTACAGCAAGATGGCCTTCTTCTACTCTATGTTGTCATATTTTGCCAGGTCTACTTGTGAAGTCTGGCATGCATTGGAATCAACTTATAGCCATGATTCCTTGGAACATTCACAACCTCAAAGACTCTTTACGACAACTGAAAAAGGGTAATCTCTCGGTTACTGATTATGCTAAACAATATAAATCCATTTGTAACAAACTTGTTATCTTTCACCATTAAAGAAACTTTGAGAGTAAGAAGATGAAAGAGAAGATGATATTCGAATCTGTATCATTACAATGATCTAACTGAGCTATATACATTGACTTATAAATAACTGTTTCTAACAAACAGAACTAACAAACTTCTGTATGAAATTACAATAATACCCTTCAACTAATTAACTAATTGTCATTTGATAACAAAGTCTAACACCCCCTTCCCCCCTGGACAAGTTGTAGATTGTAGATGCAACTTGGAAATAGCTTTTTGATTAAGAACTCCATTTAATGACTTGGTTAGGACATCTACTAATTAAGCATCATAGCTAACATGGGACAATGAAATCAACCATTCTTGCACCTTTTCTCTTACAAAGTGACAGTCAATCTCTATATGTTTGGTCCTCTCATGAAAAACTGGATTGGTGGCTATGTAAATAGCTACTTGGTTGTCACATTTCAATGGAATTGGATTAATGTGAGACACATCAAGTTCATGGAATAATCAACTCAACCACGCTAATTCAGAACATACTCTCTTCATAGACCTATATTCTGCTTCAGCAGAAGATATTGAAATAGTGAGTTGTTTCTTGGATTTCTAAGAAACAGGTGCATCACCAAAGATAATGAAGAAACCACTAACAAATCTCCTGGTTATAGGGCAAGCTGCCCAATCCGAATCACAATATGCCTCTAATTTATAATTTTGAGTGTTATTGAAGAATTAAAGTTGATGGAGTATCCCTTTGAGATTAGCGTAAAGTATGCATAGCAACATCAAAACGATCTTAGGATGGTTGTTGATTGAATTGACTCAAATATTGAACTGAGTAAGTTAAGTCAGGTCTTGTAAGGAGAAGAAAATTCAGTTTGCCAATTAATTGTCTGTACCCAGTAGGATCTTTGAGAGGATTAGGCATTTTGGGAAGAAGATGAACTTTGGGTGGCAATGGAGAGGAAACGGGAGTGCCTTCTTCGATTGAGTATGAAGCTAACAACTCTCTTATGAATTTTCTTTGATGTACAATCATCCCATTTGTGACTTTTGTAAATTCAAGACCAAGAAAGAAATTCATTTGTCCCAAATCCTTGATTTTGAACTTATTATCAAGAAAAGTTTTTAACTTTGTGATTTCTTCAAGATTATCTCCAGTAACAAGTATGTCATCAACATACACAACAACAATGACTATGGAATTTTTGGTTTTTTTTAGAAAAATAGAATAGTCATTATGAGAATGTGTATGAATTTGAAATTTGAGAGCATCAGAAAGTTTAGAATACCATTGCATGGATGCTTGTTTTAAGCCATACAATGAATTTTTAAGTCTATAAACAAGATAAGGAGAATCAACTTCAAAACCAGGAGGAATCTTCATGTAGACTTCTTCATGTAAATCACCATGAAGGAAGGCATTATTGACATCTAAATGTTGAATAGTCCACCCTTTCGTTACAGCCAAAGATACTATGTATCTTATAGTATTGAACTCGACTAATGGAGAGAAAGTATCATGATAATCTATTCCTTCCCTTGGCAACTAAACGGGCCTTATGCCTTTCAATTGAGCCATCTGCCTTATATTTCACTTTGTAAACACATCTACATGAAATGAGTTTCTTTCCTTAAAGTAGTTTAACAATATCCCATGTGTTGTTTGAGACAAGAGCTTGAAGTTCCTTGCGCATTGCTGCTTCCCAATCTTTATTCCCTTTTAGCTTGATGATAAAAGGTTGGTTTAGGAATATGTAATTTTGAATGAAATGCAAAAGAACGATTGATGGTATTTTTGTTGATGAAGTAAAAGTTGCATTTGGTATGCACATATTGGTGAGAGTATGACAACATATATGATCAGAGCCAACATGATTGCATAGGTAATCATGAAGTCTTATTGGTGGTTGATGTATTCTAGTAAACATGCGAGTAGGAATGGAAGGAGGAATGGGATCACTGGTATATGAATGTTCAGAAGAAGGTTTAAGGGTATAATTAGAATTTTCAAGAATATTAGTTGAATTGGTTGGAAGATGAGAAATGGATGATTGTAAAGGATGTTTAATCATTGAATGAAGAGGAAATAAATCCTCAAAGTAAATAACATCTCTTGAAACATGAATATGCTTATTAACTAGATTCAACACTTTATAAGTTTTTTGAGCAGTAGGGTATCCAATAAGAACATAGGGATGAGATCTAGACATGAATTTATCACGTCCAATAGGTGATGTAGCAACAAAGCATAAAAATCCAAACACTCGCAAATGTGACAAATCTGGTTTCTGTCCCATTAGAACTTTATAAGGAGTGGCATTGTGAAGAACTTTTGTGGGCATTCTATTGATAAGATGAACAACAGTCTTGATACATTCACTCCAAAAAACAATACCCAAACCAGATTGAAAATATAGAGATCTTACAACTTCTAAA